ATTCGGATGCTGGTATGGATTCCAGAACAAGTTTTTCACAAATGTGAAGGCACATTAGTATTTACTAGCATAAATTCTGACATAATCTGCTCTTTCTATTCCGCGAGAATGGAAGTTGAGAAGAAAACTTTGAACAGATAGGTGGGATTAGACATGGATTTAAATACCCTCCCTCTCCCAAAGTTATGTGGGGGGTTTTGGAAGTGCTAAATAGACCCGGCAAGATTTCAAACTCCAATGATTTGTAATAACACGGCCACCTATACACAGTGGCGCGGTTAACTACAGACTAGGTGCGATGTAGGTTGGTTTCTTGGATAAAGTCAATGGAATTTGACAGATTAGACCCAAAAACTTCCGAAAACTCAGTACACATCACCAAAATTGTGCTTGTATTCCCTGCACCTGGTTCCGAGGTTTAAAAATCGACTTTGCCGAAGCAAAGGAGCTCCATTTTGGACATCAAGAACCCAGAGATACTAAAGCACTTGAGAAGGAGCACAAAAACCTCGATTTTGACCCGTTTCCAGCGTATTTGGGTCGCCGTTTATAAACCCGTTTATAAACACCCTCACTGCATTCCGAGCCTGCGTCGGCAGGCTCTGTTGACGTGGGTTGACGTCAGTCGACCTCGGCCGACCCTAGTCGGCAGGGTCTGCCGACGCTCCGTCGGCAAATCTGTGCCGACCTGCGCCGACGGTCTGTCGACCCGGCGTCGACTGAGGTCTGCCTACCTCGGTTTCTGAGTTCGACCCACCTCCTCCGCATACTTACCCGCTATCCTCTTCCAGTTCCATGGCCCCCCTTGTTGTCGCTAGCGAGCCTGTAGCCCGTAGCAACTGAATGGCGATTTTACTTGTTCCTGGTGACTTCTCCCGTCGACCCTGAGCCCTCCATTCCAAAGCGCCGATTCTGTGGCCCTCTTGCAGTTTCTCTCACATTCCCCTGCTCTCTCCATGTATTAACACTTCTCAATAATTTATCAGAATGTTCAATGGGCAGTCGACAACTAACTCCACTTCTACCAGGTGCCACGCAGTGGCACGGATCCGAACCCAGAATCCCAGATGGTGAAAGATGAATCGCGGTTTGCCAGTGACACCAGTCAGAAGTTCCTCCCGCATTATTTCAGCCATGGAATTTGCGTTGGGAAGATGGGAGCAAATCCAAGACGAAAAATTATTGTAAGGGCGGATTCTAAGCGGATTCACACGTTTTGACAACTGGCCAAATAGTATCAAATATTCTCTCGCTCAATTCCGTACCAAAACAACATTGAAACAAAGAAACAATACACCCTGATGTACGGTTGAAGGGAGCTGGACCATCGACAGACCTCAGCCTGGGTCGGCCTACTCGGTTTGCCTCCAGATCGGTCGACCTCTGCCGACGGGGGGTCGGCAAATCCTGTGCCGACGAACCCACGGAATGCAGTGCCTGTTCATAAACCAAGATTTAAAAACTGTTTATAAGTGCCCGCGGAATTATAAACAGAGCCCTAAATTATCCGACATCCCTCATCAAACAGACGAGTAACATCTCGCAACAAAAATAAAACAGACAAATAGATGGGACACGAGGAATCGAACCCCGATCTGTCATTAGTCCCTGACCGTGGGCCGATCGCGGAGGCCGCGGATCGTTTTAAGCACATCGTTTTAAGTTGCGACTGTCATGCCAATAACCGTAATTCAGGCTGGCACTGCTCCACTCCCGACGGGCTTACACTCTTTACGCAAGCCAGTGAGAACAGGCCGCTTTTACCATTTTCTTTCGCCTGCCGCTCATCCACTCAATAGACTGGCACCGCTCCTCCGTATGGCCCTCCGACATGCTTAAAGGCAACCTCGGGTGACTCCCAGCATCGCCGAGCCGTTCAAAAAAATGGTCTAGGACCTCCAGAACACAGACGCGCTGGGACACTGGATCACGAGGGTTTTCACGGTCAGTAACAACAGACTCGGCTCCTATTGTAGGGCCTGTCTAGCCGATGTATTGAAGGACAACGCATGGAGGTGATACCTCGAGGAGGGGCTCAAAAGTGCGGGGTCTCCGCCAATTTATCACTCGCCACGAACTGACGCGCTCGAAACTTTGTAGCGGGGTGGAAGAAACCAAGGAACTGCCGGTATGTGAGACGGGAGACCAAACGATTTGATACTGACGGGCGTCACAGGTACGGCTACCACTGCACGACCATGGTGGAAAACACGGGCCATGCGGGGGTATGAATGTGATTTTCTATCCCATTTCTTAGATTCGCCTACTAACTCTATTCACCTTCTAGCATCTGTGCGTGCCGACCGACCGTGAAGAATTCTGAGTGCAATTCAAAGTGTCCAAAATAACAATTATGTTCAACAACTATTCGGTTACATCCTTCGTATGTGTTTATTTCAATTTCTCGATCCGGGCGTTACGGACGGTGGGCAGACAACCAACTCGTTCATTATTTTGGCTTAACCATACAATCTTCTATCTGGGTGTGTTTGCCGCGCGCTTGAGAGTTGGCTACATGCATTACACGTGGCCCTAATTTAGAACGAATCGCAGCACTACATTACCCGGGATATTATCTTTTGGTAAACATCCGTTTATCGGCCACATGCTGCGTCCCCGCTAGACATACGCCGGCGGGGGCTCATTCGAGATTCCCACCCCATACGCTGAGTGTGCATTCGCCTCCAGCGCTTGCATCCGCGTCACCAGCATGTTGATCTGTTCCCTCGAAGCCTCCAACTCAGCCCGCACGTCGGGCGAGGCCCTTGTCGAGCTGCTTCGTATCGACATCAGGCGCAACACTCGGCGTGTCCCCGAGCCCGCTGTTTCCCTCGTCGTCGATCTCTCCAGATCCTGGATATCGGCCATCTTCTCATGTACCATCCGCAGTTCCGTCTCCAAGTCTTGTCGTGTTATTGTGCTTGCGCTAGTGCGGCGCACATTGGAATCGCCGGATGGGGCGGTCTCGTCGGTGTGACCGTCCATCTGCTCCATCTGCGTAAGGAGCGTAAATGAGGAAACGGTATTGGCGTCGTGCTCGACTGCTGTCTCATGTTTTGCAGCGCGGCGGCGATGTTTGGCGCAAAGGATCAGTGCGATGGTTAAGCCGACGACGACGCTGGCCACCGCAACGCAGATAGCGGCGATTATCCGTGGAGTTATTCGCTTCCGGTGCTTCCTATGTGACCAAAATTACGATGAGCAAGTAATGCAATGCACCAACATACTCACGTTGCTGCGACAACTGGAGCTTGAGGACTGTGTTACACGAGTGTAGAAGTAGGGCATTACTCTCTGAGAGAATACTGACGTACATTTGTGAAGAAGCTTCCTCTGTCGTAGTCGCAGAAGACAATGCAAAATGAGTTGATTGCGCGCTCGCAGAATTACTCCTTGTAATTATAGTGGTGGCCCCTGCACTCGGGGTACTTTTATTGGGTAGAGAGAAATTCGGGGTATTTGTTGTGGTAGGAAGGATCGACACAAGATCCTGTGCGGCGCTGGGTGGACATAATGTTGCCAAGCCTGAGATTAACGAGCCGTCCTCGAAAGCATATCAGCTGCGCTCGCCACATTTCAACATCATGACGCACCGACAGATCATACACACATGTGCCGCCGTCGGGGTATAAACAGGCGAGGAATCCGCTTTTGCTAACTGCCTCATCGAGGGTGGTTCCATCCTGGTTGACGGGTGGACACACGGAACCAATGCCAGTGCCACCGCTACCGTTATTATCACCAGCGTTGACTTGAGCCGACACCGGCCAGACGCTCCAGGCGACGATAAGCAGAAAATGAGCCGTCGAGATTCGCATGGTACACCCTCAGTAAGGTCAGCGCTGTAAGCGCGACGAAGGAACGAGCGGAATGTCTTGTGCACAAACGACAGGAAATGTGGATCGACTCCGGTCCTACCTGAGACCCGGAAGATATGTGGACTCGAGGAGAGGGATAGCGCCATCGCTCTGCTGCATATGTGGGTAACTAAGACAGCTTGAATATTTTGGGCTTGACAGACGGCTTCCCGATCATGATGTGCGGGATTTTATCGCAGCCGGGGAGCATTTATTTGCTCGGGATCAGAAAGACGTCCAGCGTCCGCCAGCGATATTAGCTTCATAGAACAGACACGGCTTTCATGTGAGAAATCAGGGGCACTGTATATAATGTCGGCCCCCAAGAGCGTATTCTGCAGGTCATTTAATCTCCACAGATTCAACATTTTCTATGTCCGTGTGTTTATCTTCGCTAGACACCATAGCAATGAGATGGTCACCCACGAACAGATTCCAAAATTCTCGCCTTGCTCGCTACCAACCGGGTAACCTGCCACGGAGCTTACACTGCCGTGTTAGGAACATCTGCTGACAGTTAATCAGTATCGTACCATGGTGCTGTGTCTGAGGGAAACTTGGTTGGCCGGGACCGATTTAAATGACATCTCTCGTTGGTTTGAAAAAGAATGGACGGGACAGTTTGAATCTTCTTTGGTCTACATCTACGAGGTTGTATTCTGTGGCCGGATACTGCGAATCAACGTGCGGTGTGGAATTTTGAATTGGCGGCTGCGTCGAGAGCAGATACAATGTCATTTAAAACGACTGTCTCTCCGGTGTTACAAACTAAAGCAACAAACAACAAATTTAAAGGAGGAAAAAGTAAGTTGCCGGGGTATCCATGTCTCCGATGGGAGTCGAACTCACGTTTCTCCCAGAAATTTGTCCCGTCATCCCAGCAATCAGGGAGTGATCTAGCATTGATCTGCGGATCCTGTGGGCGTCGATCGCCAACCAGTCCAAATATTACCAACGAATGCCGCGGAGAGGCCGGTCGAAGGATGCGACAAATTTAATATTTATATTTATGTTGACCAACTCCCGTATGTCCGAGACCGATATCCCCGCGTCGCCCGCGAATAATTAAAGACTGCTCAATGCATGCATCACACGTAAATCTACTTCCCCCCTCTAATAAAAATATAAACTAATGTACAATTACGCCTTCGGTGGGAATCGAACCCACGTATCTTCGGAATAGATGTACGATTAATCGCAACAACGACCAGAAGTGATCTGCCTTGATCCACGAAGGCTGGAAGGCTTCTTGGATGGTCAATGTGAGAGCCGGGTGGATTTATTTAGCCAGAATGTGCTCATATGGACCCAATATAATACCTGTTACCCACACTCACACTCATATTGTCGGAGGATAGAAACCCAGATATCCATATACGCATAAATTCACACTTTGCATTTTACCCGAACTCAATGCCGCGTACAAACGTCGCCTTCCGCTGGTTTCACGCCGCGACGCTCCTTTTTAGCTTGAAATGAGGAACGCGACGTCTGATGCGAATTTTCGAATAAGTGGGAGAGGAATACGAGTCCACATGCATAAAATCGAATTCTTTACCTGGTATCGCAACCCAAGCTGCTCCTTGCTCAGCTCCATGCTCCCGCCGACGCACTTCGTAACGCTGCTGAACCCTTCCTCGTTCAGCTCGCAGGTGAACTCGAGGCCAATCACGCCGAGCCGCGATTTGCACGCCGCGTGGATGCGCAAACACGCCGTCAGCTCGCTGATGATCGTCCCAAAGTGGCGCGTCTTCAGCCCCGAGGCGCTCGTTTGCATGCTAAAAAAATATCCGTCCGTCAACCATGACTATGTACGAAGGCCCGATGACCCGATGCGCATATGTACTCACTTCCCGTGCATGGGATCGCAGATCCAGACGACGCCGTGCCCGGATTTTTGGACGGCCGAGATGTGCCCCGCGAGATGAGTATCGATCTGGGCGAAGCAGCATCAGCATTAGTGTCCGCGCGTGGCATAGATAGAGATAGGCATAGCATTATAGTTCGCCCGTGCACCTACCTTGCCGGCACCGTATCGCGTTATCAATGTTACCCTTCCGGCTTCCTTTAGGGGGTTCACGACTGCAGTGGGGAAACGAGTATCAGCAAGCAGAAATAAAAGCCACGGACGCGAGGGGGAGTGCGGAGGGAGGAGGGGAGGGAGGAGAGGGAAGAACGCACTGTCGAGCAGACGCACGAGCTCGTCGGCGGCCATGCTGGGGCCGACCTTGACGCCAATCGGGTTGCGGATCCCGCGAAAGTACTCGACGTGCGCGCCCGTCAGCTGGCGCGTGCGGTCGCCGATCCAGAGGAAGTGCGCGGAGGTGTTATAGTCTTGTAGAAGGTCTTGGGCTTCGTCTTGTCGGTCGGTGCGGCCCCTGCGCCTGGCGCATTGGACTTGGAGCGTGCCGCGGCTGGAAGCGGGAGCGTGCGCGTCAAAGCATGTTCATACTCAAGCATCAAGCCCTCGTGGCTGGTAGGGTATGCGATTGCGGTCAGTGAAACGCGGAAGCACGATGCATGCAGCTGGATGGGAGCGAGGCGCTTGCCTACCTGGTAGAAGTCGACTTCGCCGACGGTGCCGCGGCCGCCGCTCTGCTCGAACGAAGGCCGGGACTCGACGCCGATCGTAGTCGTACGGCTCAAGGACGGGCGTCTAAAGTAACGCCCGTAGACGCCCGTCCAAACACTTGGATGCTGTCGCCAAACAGCGTGCTCTTTTCCGCTTTCCATCATCTTCTCCATACAACATCGAGGTCAGCCGTGGCCAGACGACATTCCAAAGGTATCACGCACCCGTCTCGTTGTACCCCTCCTGAGGCCCTGTCGTAGAGTTTAAACTGCTACTTGGAGTCGAATACAACTTTCTGTCGCGCGGAGGGCGCCCGAGGACTACGATGGATTACTGGGGCTTGTGTGGGCTGGAATTGGTCTTGCGGACCACGGCGTTGGATGCGCGGTTGCGACTAAATCGGTGGGACGGATAGATGTCGCTGAGTGTTAACCTCACAAAGCTGCAGTCTGGCCAATATTGAAGTCCGGTATGAAGAGTTAATACCGGCTGGCCTACCTCACATTCCGCTGTGATCACAACATGGGGTTACGCTAGGGACTAGCCTGGATCGGCGTGACCGGCTGTCTGTCCGCGCCACATCCACCGATCGCTCATCCGCGGACAGATTGGCCCATCATTATCCGTGGGAAAGTTATTCACCGCTGTCCGTCGTTTGCTGCCTGGACGCCAGGACACTCACAGAGGTCAGTGATAATCATAGGAACAATTCTGTGGCATAAGAAAAGTTGCTTACCAATTCCCAGAGCTTTAGCATAGCTCGTTGTCAAATATTATCCAAATTTCACTGGTTACCAGTGTTTTACAAGGAAAATTTGTCCCGACATTTATCATTTGCACACAAAAAAATACTGAGCACTGTGTTAGATGTTAAAATCGAGTTTACACCCCTCAAACAATTTTAATTGCATGGAGGAAAGGAGAAGCGAGCAGAACCAACCTGCGGTGGCTGTGAAATAACAGGTGCAAAGAGTGTCCACCAGTTAAGCATGAATTCTGCTGGCAATGGAGTGCTTGGGATGATAAAGATTGAGTTTGGTTATATTGAATCAAAAGGATACTATTTGGGGAGCTGTAAGGGTTGAACTAGTACTGTGGAAAGTTTTCATGGCTTGGTCAGAAAATGTTGAGAGTGGTAAATATGACCTTCATTTTGGAGTTTTTCTCTCGAATTTAATGCAGGAGGCTCCTAGCAACTCATAATGGAGACTCTTTGATGGTCCGGGGAAAAATAGAGGTCAGTGGATATTTCTTACTGGAAAACTATTTCTTGAATAACGTGTTCAATGCAGAAAATGACGGGTTGTTGTGGATGTTGGGTATTTTGAGGAAGGTATTAAAGTTCTTTGACATATTAATTTTGCAGTTCATCTCTAGTCAACGTCAATGCAAACTGACACAGTGTGGCTGTGCAGTGACGCAGAGTGGCGCACAGATTGACGCCGGTCAGCGCACGGATTAGTGAAGCATTACTTCTGGCAGAAATGGTGTTTTTTTTGTATGATCCACATTAATATTGAAGCAAAAGCAACCTATTTGTGGAGCTGTGGAGGTTGAACCTTGTAAAAGTTTTCGTGGCTGGACAGAAATGTTGAGAGTTGCACAAAGATGACCATTCTGTTGGAGTTCTCTTGTATTCATGGCAAAACAGTACCAGAAAATTGTAAGGTAGGATCTTTGACGGTCTGGAGTCAATTTGAGTCCGTGCGCGCTGGATACCAATTCCTACCGGGCCGTATTAATTTTGAATCCCGTCTGTGGAAGCGTCAGTCAACGTCAATCCAAACTGACGCAGGGTGGCTGTGCATTGACGCAGCGGCGCACCCACTGACGCAGATCGGCGCACGCAATTGTGAAGCTTTGCAATCACTGCTAGCAGACTTTTAAGCCTATCTGCATGCATGAGGAATGAATTGGAACAGTTTAAGAGCCGGAAATCTTGGAAATAGACCTTCAGGATAAATCAACCGACCTCAACAATACAACATCCGACGATGCAGCGGCGGCGTGAATTGTTGCAACATAATTTAGATGAGATTTCTTGTCTGTGGTCAGATCGCGGCACAATGCCCCCCCCAAAAAAAAAAGGCTACCAGGGGGCGAGTATGAGAAGTCATCGAGAGTGCGAGAGATGGGCGGCCAGAGTGGTGGCAGAGATTGAATAATTTTGAGTGCAAACCTGCAAACCAAAAAAAAACATTGGCAGCATGGACAGTAGTGCCAAAGAGATTAGGATGAGCGGCATTGAGCAATGCAGCACCGACGCAGAATGGTGCATTGGCAGCGCAGAGAAAGTTGAAAGTGATGTTGAGCTGACGCAGGTAGGTCACACCGACGTTGTGTCACGGCGCAAGCCCGGCGCAGATTGACGCATACAGGAGGGCAGGTGACGCTGCAAGCCGCCGAATTGACGCAGACTACCGCAGACTTGATGCTGAAATCTGACGCATACGTCAGTTGCGCCGCGTGTGACGCAGTCACACTGACGCATGACTGACGCTAACTGACGTTGCACGGAATCTAGTCAATGATTTTCAACGACCTCAATGATCTGTACACTTTAATGCCGTAAACGATGTACTAAGGACCTACCTAGATGCCCACCGGATATCAGCCCTCCAGGATACCGGCAAAGGTAAGTTCAACCATTGACGCAAAATTCAACTGACGCAGACTGACGCTGCATGCGTCAAACATCAGTGCTGCGTCAAAATCTCCTTGCCCTATCTGCGCCTGTGGTGATGGATGCTGTTGCAAAATTGAAATGACTGCGTCGACGTCGAAAGCAGTTCTTTGGCAGTTCTCGATGAAAGCCTTATTCCGGAGTCAGTAGCCATCGAAGCACCACTTCGAGTCTGACTCAACCCAGCTAAGCAGATCGAGCTAGAATGAGCTGTATCGAGGAAATCGAGGAGTATCGAGGGATTTCGAGGTGTGCCTGGCGTCTGATCTGACACTTTCAGTCGAACAGCCCGCTAATGCACACACATCCGACATCCGACACAGAATGACGCACCTCGACAGTCCTTTTGCAATTTCGACCAAGTGGTCGACTTTGTGGACGTGCGGAGTGATTGCGTCATAGGCGCGTCTTTGCTCTCGATAAATACAAGTCGTACGATGTCGGACTTTAAAATGCTTCTTTCCCTTCTTCCACCACCTCCCACTTTCCCGCCCGCACCCCGGCGCGCTCTTTGTACCACAGTGCGCATTTTCCCCCATCGTATCATTGTGCCCCGTCTTAATGATCTTGCCAGCTTCCACCAAGCTTCTGCGGATAATCTCCATGCCATGTCTATGCAGGTGCGTGCGCTATCCCACGTCGCGTTGCTGATTGTTACACATTAGAATGCCAGGTGGAGGCCACAGGGTGGCTATTGTGGTGAGTGGCTTGACTGTTTCCAATCCATCTACTTACCCGTGTTCATAGAGTCCGAGTCGCGTCTTGTCCTTTCGATTTCTCCGCTTCGTATGTCCTCGATTCATTCTATCTTGAACTGTCTGCTCACAACTTGTCCAGTGCCGCGTCTTTCTTATCGTACTCACTCGCAGCTGCATCCTCCATTACACAGGGCCTGGGCGGGTCGGGGGTCGGGTAGAGGTTACGCTGTGGAGTGTAGGGGAGGATGGCGATGGCGTGCAGGATAGTGTAGTAGGCAGCGCGTG